AAGAATTTCTTTACTGTCCGAGCCCCCAAGGTCTGGAACAGCCTGCCACCGGAGGTGGTTCAAGCGCCTTCATTGAACACCTTCAAGATGAAACTGGATGCTTATCTTGCTGGGATCCTATGACCCCAGCTGACTTCCTGCCCTTTGGGCAGGGGGCTGGACTCAATGATCTTCCGAGGTCCCTTCCAGCCCTAATGTCTATGAAATCTATGAAAACTTAACAGAGATGTGTCTCAGAGATGCCCCAGGGCACATCGATTTCATACATTCTAGGGTCAGAAGGGACCTCAACAGAATATTGAGTCTGACCCCCTGCCTAGGCAGGAAGGAGTACTGGGGTCAGATGACCCCAGCCAGACGCCTATCCAGCCTTCTCTTAAAGACCCCCAAGGTAGGGGAGAGCACGACCTCCCTTGGAAGCCCATTCCAAATTTTGGCCACCCTTACTGTGAATAAGTTTTTCCTGATATCTAGCCTAAATCTGCTCTCTGTCAGTTTGTGACCATTGTTCTTTCGTTACCTCAAGAGGCACCCTCGTGAACAGAGCATCTCTGATCCCTTGCTGCGTTGAATTTGTAGGCGGCCACAAGATCACTTCTCAGCCTTCCCTTGCGGAGGCTGAAGAGATCCAGGTACCTCAGTCTGTCCTCATAGGGCTTGTCCTGTAAGCCCCTAACCATACGAGTGGCCCTCCTTTGGACTCTCTCGAGTCTATCAATATCCTTCTTGAATTATGGCATCCAACACTGGATGCAGTACTCCAACTGAGGTCTACCCAATGCCGCACAGAGGGGAAGTATCACCTCCTTGGATCTATTTGTCATGCATCTGCTGATGCATGATAAAGTGCGGTTAGCTTTGCTGATGATTTCATTACACTGATGACTCATGTTCATCTTGGAGTCCACTATGACTCCGAGATCCCTTTCTGCTTCTGTGCTGCTGAGAGGGTCACTTTCCAGCCAGTAGGTGTGCTGGATATTTTTGTGCCCTAGGTGCAGCACTCTGCACTTGTCCTTGTACTGCATCCTATTCTGTACTGCCTACCTTTCTAATCTGTCCAGGTCTGCGTTCCCTACCCTACCACAATTCACCCCACAATTTAGTATCATCCACAAACTTGGACAGAGTACACTTCACACCCGTCACCAAGTACAATTCATCATCCAAGTCACTGATGAAAGCTGGGGTTTCCCACTTGCAGAGATGCACCCCAGGCAATCTCTGGAGTGTGTCTCTGTAAGTGGAATCCCACCCCCTGCTTTCCCCTCTTACAGATATGTACCCCAGGGAATCTCTGAGGAGTGTTTGTATACGCCAGGAAAGCTGAGGTTCCCCACTTACAGAGAGGTGCCTCAGAGATTGCCCACGATGAACTTCTGTAAGAGGGGAAAGCTGGGTAGGGCAGGTGCTCCAAGGTAATTCCCAGGCTGTGCAGGATCAGGCCTGCCAAGTCCCAAGAGTGCTAGCCTGGGGCAGCTGAAGAGCATTGGTAGCTCTGGGTTGTCTCTACTGTTGTGCAAAAAACAAGCAGATGTCTGCTGCCATAAGGTGACAGAAATTATTACTATCTTCATTGCGACAACAAAGTTTGGGCATTTGTGGTGTGACAATGTGTATGAATTCCAGTTATCTTTGGTTTTCTTCCTTCATAAAAAAAATCCACCCTAAGAAATATAAAAGGCATCCTGTACTCTAAGTCAGAAGAGAGGCATGCTGTTCAAGCAGTAAGTTTTTTGCAGTTGGGATGCTTTGCAGTTTCTGCAAATCTGGATTTTTCCTGGATAGTTTAATTTTCTGTTGGGAACACTGAAACGAAACTACAGCTCTCTGGCTCCTCCTGGGTTGCTCTGGAGAAAGGGCTTCTAGGGATTTCTGGCTCCTGGTTCCCAGAGCCATTGGGACTCTTGAGGTGGCTGATTACCCAGGCTGCCAAACTCCTACAGGGGTCCACTGTCCATGGAGTTAAGTCAGGAAAATGGGAAGCCTGTTGCCTAGCTCTTCATGCTGCCTACCTTGCAGACAGGTAGAAAATCTATCTTTATGGGTGGCAAACTGCCTTACCTTTCTATATTATTTTATTTTTGCATTACATTATATTGTGTTATTTTATTTTATTGCCTAGAATCAACTTTCTAAAAACATATGAAAGTTCAATTGGTACCAGATGAAAGGCTTTATTTCCTCATTCAAACTTTTTTCTTGTTTACTATTGTAATTAAACTTCTGAGACTATGGAAAAAAAACCAACCCAGAATTGTACATTTGTTTTTTCTGGAATGTAACCCTCAGGGTAGGAGAAGTATTACTGAAGCTGCTACCTATGAATGAGTTAAAATGTAACAGCTATTTTCTTAGTCAAAGTTTCAAAGAGGATATAAAGTACAGTTGCTACTCTGATTAATACTGCATTAAAAAAACAAAATATTTTATGATTTAAAAATAAAGAATAAAATAACTAAAAGCATTTAACCTAAAAGGCCTGAAATGGATTGTATCAATTATCAATTGATAGAATTGGTAGATTGTATCTATCAACCCCAGTTCCCCCCTTTGCCCTCCCACATCACTGAGTTTGATTTCTGTTTCAGTTCTTTGCAGCATCTAACAGACAGGTCATCTCTTCAAATGCATATGATAACTAACTACAAGAAACTGTACTGAAACTGTAGGAAGGGGTTTTGACCTCTTAACTGCCTGGCAATATGTGCACCTACGTGTTTGGCCCAGATACATATTTTTTTCCGTCTTCATTGTAAGGTCACTCTTCATTATTATTAATTACCATATCTATTTCAGATGCTCCTGTCACATCTGAAGGTTCCACAGGAATTTACTATGATGATGCCAAAGAAGTCCATGACCCTGAAAAAGTTCTTGCATCTAGGCAGAATACAGAGGAAGCCACAGGGACCTCTGACAAAAGTGAGAGAAGCCAGGATTCACAGATAGGTGGGAAGCAAATACAATTTTGCCAGTTTTGACAATGTTATTACTAATTTAATGTTACCTGTTATTATTTTAAGAGCCCTAGTTTGATCCCGTGAGCTTGTAAGTATCTTCCATCCTGTTGTGATCTCTTTCAGCTTAGCACCTCACAAGATGAAGCTGTTTGACAAACTATTTTCAGTTAGAATTTGGCTGCTGTCTCATCTCAGGAGCTGTATGCAAGATAAGATTTTTGTTCACATACTGATGGAAAGAAGAGTTAAAGATATGGATGGAAGCAGAAAATGGGGTTAGATGTTGCATGGGTTTATCAGAATTAAATAATACTGATATCCTCTTATGAAAAGATAATGGGGTTCTTGAATAAGGCTAATGCCATGGACTTAGTTTATCCAGGTCTAAGCAGAGCATTTGTTAGCAGGCTTTCTGATGTGACTTAATGTATTTGATGCAGAGAGCAGATCAGGGTTGCTTTTGGGCATCTCAGTTTTTTGTCCCTGACCTTTACTTAATTTCTCTACTCAGTGTCAGGTCTGTCATCATCATTATTAATTCTCATCTGTATTTCAGAGGCCTCTGTACTGCCCAGAGATGCCACCAGTGATGGTTATGATGATGCTGGTGAAATTTCTGATCCAGAACACAGTTCTGCTTTTCACCACAATTATGAGGAAATCAGTGAAGTCCCAGAGGAAAGTGATGGGAGAAGGGATTCACTGACAGGTGAGTGAAATTGCCATATCTTGCTATTCAAATCTCTAGTCTTACAGTGTTCAGTATTTTTCAGAAAGCCCCTGTCATGTCTGGAGATTCCATAAGACATGGCTATGATGATACCTAAGAAGTTTATCACCCTGAAGAAGTTCTTGCACCTTGGCAGAATGAAGAGAAAGCCCCTGGAATCCCTGACGAAAATGGAGTCACATCATTACATAAAAGGCTCTGTTTTGCTTTAAAAAAAAATGTATAGCAAATTTTCTAGCTATCAAACTTAAAAGACTTAAAAATGAAGTATATTTAATCTAAAGGCTCAAGAATAACAAAGAGATCAAAATACTCTATTTATTATAAAGCTAAAAAATGTAAGTCACTTCCACAGTAGTTTGACGCCTCACTCAAGATTCCTGAAGTTATATGACTGGAAGTAATGGTTATACATGTATTTCATGGTGACCTTGTAATTACTGAGGTGTAGGTGGTTGGGGTGGCTCACCTGAATGGCAAGGCAGGGTTCAGAGCTAAGTCACTATCATGTGCTTCCCTTGATATTTTCAGGTTGGAGTCTGCACTCTCTAAGAACTGAAGGGACCTCTGGAGCTGACAGAAAAGATCCCTTCCTGCCTCCTGGGGACATAGACTATGATGATGTTGAAGATGGCTTCGCTGGTACATTGATATAAGAATGTCTGTGTTTAGCACAAAAGCCCTGTGAGGACATAAATGCTGTATAAATAGATGACTCTTCTCTGAAATGCCAACTGGGCCAAAGAGTCATGAGAGACAGTCCCTGCATAGCACATAGCCTGAGAAGCTTCTTATAGAGAGTTCTGTAGTTGCAAGATTAGTTTGAGTGAGATTTAAAAAAAAAAAAAATTACCATTGATAGGTTTTATGGATAATTTTTGCTTTTGTATTCCTAAAGAACTTTTTATCATACAGTTCTGCTTTTTCTTATTAAAACCTTTCTTTGAAAACTCATTCCAGAAGTGATATTCCTCTCTCCCCAGTGTATTGGTTCAATCCCAGGGGATGATAATGGAGTGGGAATGAAAATGAATCACAGCACAAGAAATCCTATGAAGTGGTACCTCAGTACTGCAAGCTGTTAGACAGGATATTTGATTGCTAATTCTGTGCAGTGATGCTTACAGATTTGGAAATGCTTATGCCATGGGAGCCTGGCACCCCATGCAGCTTCCCCAACAGCCCCTGGCTGGAGAAGGCACAAGTGATGTGGGGCTTCCCCTGCTCCAATCAGCTGGGGACAGCTGTGGCAGTAGGTAAGTCCTACCTTCTTCACTTGCTTGGTCACCCCTGGTATCCCTTGTCAGCCCAGGACTCCAAGCATGCTTTGGACTCCACAGGAGACCCAGGCATCTGAAGGTCAGGGGTACAGGAGCCACTGGTAGGTGAGCCACACTGCCCTCCATCTGCCCCCTCCTTCTGGCCCCCAAAAGATCTGCTGCAGATCACATCTATGTTTATGGATTGTAGTGCTTTGTTTTGTTCATTTGTCTTTGATTATCCTTCCCTCTGTTTTGAAGGAAATTAGTTATGGATTTTTTTTCATGGAGTGCATAGTTGTTGCATTTTAGGATATTGCAGCAGTTTATGAATGAAAAGGCCCATGTGCATGTGCATTTGAAAAGGCTGTCTTGTTGGCACTGAGATTCTGTGTGCTAAAATCTTTGGTTTATCTAAATGAAGGTATGTGTCCTGAACAAAGACAAAATGACATTGTAGTACACCGCCTCTTTTTTCCTATAGGAAAAAGCTGAGGAAGGGTGAAAGGTAAGGTGATGTTTTAAGTATCTTAAGCCCAAATTACTAAGGTTCAGATCCTTCTCCATCTAGTAGGCAGCTAAAAGAACTTGGTGCACAAGTTTTATCTGATTTTACCATGCTTGAAACCTTGAAAAACATGTTATGGTACCTGGTTTTTTAAGATACCATCATCATGGTCTTAAGGCTAACTTACAAAAAGCAGCAAGAAAGAGGAGGACAAATCCGCCTTTTATGTTCCTTGATTTTTATGAACTTGAACAAGATGGAATAAACACCTAAAAGGTGGAATAGGATCTGAACCTAAGTGCCTTAATATAGGGAGTGAGATCTTGAACTGGGCACAATATTCTATGGCAATTAATGAACAGGATTATAGAAAAGCAGGGTTGGAAAGGACTCTGGCAGGTCATCCAGCTCAGCCCGAGGCAAGACAGGAACATTCCTGTCTAAAACAATCCAGCCAAGTAGTTGTGTAACCTTCATTTAAAAATGAAGTTTAAAAAAACTTCCTATAACCTCTCTAGATAATCTGTCCCAGTACTCTATCACCCTGAGAGTTACGAAACTATTTCTAACATCGATCTTATATTTCCCTTGTTTCAGTTTCAGACACTAACATCTGCCCCCTGTGGAGAGAGAGAACAGTTTTTGACATCCTCTTTATAACTACTTCATGTAAGGATTTTTTGGGCTGTAGGTGTTCTGTCCAAATGGATCATGCTACATCAGATATTTACCAGACTGGAAGCCAAATTCAACCTGGGTATTTAGTTTTAATCTAGGTCTAGGATAGCGAACAGAGGTTTAAGATGAGGTCATGGTCAGGGTAAGCAATTGATCCTGGTGAGAAGATCCAAGACAGGAACAGGAGCAAGTAGGAACAAGGAAAAGAATCTCAAGCCAGAGGATCAAAGCAGGCCAGAAGCGCAGCAAGGCAGTCTGTTGTTGTGGTGCCTCCAGGTGAGACTTCACCAGTGCAAAATAAAGTAGAAGAATCATTACCACTGACCTGTCTGCAACACTCTGGTTAATAAATCTCAGGACTGTATTTTATTTTTTTTGTAAAAATGTGACACTTTTGATTCATGTTCAACTTGTGGTTGACTATAACCCTCTGGTCCTATTCTACAATGATGAAACCCTGCCAGTCATTACCCATTTTGTATTTGTATGTTTGATTCTTCCATCCTAAATGCAGTACTCTGCACTGGTCCTTATTGAATTTCATCCAATTTATTTCAAATTATGTTTCCAGTTTATCAAAGTTATTTTACAATCTAAACAAATCCTCTAAATTGGTTATTACACCATTCAGCTTGTTATTGTGACAAGGGGCCCTTCCCAAGACCAGTCACAGCGCTGGTCACCCACCTGTCTTTGTGCAAGCCTCCCGCCTTACACTTCTGCTATGCCTTGTTGTTAAATAATTAAGATATAGGCGGTAGGCTGCCCTTCGAGCACCCTGATGTCAAAGGGTGATACATACATGACTCCAGCCTTCCCTTATCGTGTCCCATGCCTTGCAGATGGCATCCGTGAGTTGTGCTATTCTCTGACTTGAGGCTGGGCCCAACTCAGTGCAGTGTTAGGCCTCTCCCACGGTGCCCTGTTCAGGGCCTCACACATACTACCCCCCTTTCAATGGGGCCTCTACCACTCTGCCTGCTCTCACCAGGCCTCTTACACTCTTGCCCTTTACTGGGCCTCATTCACCCTGCCCTGCTCCCTTGAGTGAGCATGTGGGTCATCAGGTTTGTCTCTGCACTCCTTGGCCAGCCATGGTGCAGCTGTTTGGGCCTCTCCTGTGACCCTCAATTGAATGGTGGCTGGGCAATTAGCCAAACACTGGGTTAACTCCATCCCTGGCCCCTCACTGGGCAACACCCCACTCTGGTCTTCTATGGGGACCAATGACACACCCCTTTCACTCACAACTCTACCTGTGCTGCCTCAGGTGCCCAAAGGCTTACCTGCCTCCTCATCTGTGGGGCTCCTGGATCTCACACCCTTAAGGACTTAGGTACCACTCCCATGGGAGTTCCTGGCCCTATTACTCTCCAGGGTCCTTCACCCCTATGGGCTCAGGTGCCACTCATGGACACGCCTGGCCCCACTACTCACTCTGGGCTCAGGTGCCCTTCACTGGGTGTGCCTGGCCCTGTTCCCCTCTGGTCTTAATAACCCACCCATTGGTGAGGGCTGGGACTTTCAGGCACCCCTACTCATCTTTCATCAGGGCTGTAACTGACCTAGCATTTCTGGGGGACTGTCCCACCAGGCCACCCATCCCTGGCAAGGTGCAGTTTCAAGTCCTACCCAGGTCCAGGAGCCTCCTTCCATCCCCATAGATCCTGCCCTTACCTCCAAGATGTTGCAGGAAGCAGCTGTTCAGCTAGGTGTTGTTACTCTCTGGCTGCCAGCAGTAGACTGCTGCCCCAGCCCTGAGAGCCTGGATCTTAAAATGATTGCCTCATCAGGGCTGGCCTGCACCTGTCTGCTGCCTGCTCTCCTCCTTAAAGTGGCAGAAGGTGCTGTGCCACCCACCTTCCCCCTTAAAAATGGTTCCTTGGGGAGGCTTTTCCCGCTGCTCACAAAGCAGACTCACTCAGACCCTGCAACAGCCCTTAAGTGGCAAGCACCCCAATGGTGCTCTACCACAGTATCATCTGCAAATTTGCTTAGTGTGTATGTGATTCCATCCCCTGAGTCATTACAGAAGTTATTACAAAGTGCAACACTCTGAACAAAACCCCTGGGAAACCTTGCTTCATATCTCTCCCCAATTAGATACAGAGCCATTTATGAATAATCTTCTGAGCATAATGATCACCCACTTTACTGTAGCTGAACCTCGCCTATATTTTCTTTGCTTACTTATGAGAATGTCATGGGAAACAGTGGCAAAAGCCTAGCTAAAAGAGAGGTATATTCCATCAATTGCTCTCCCTGCATTCAGAAACAAATGCTGAACCATTGGCTGGTATCCTGTTATAGAAGGTAGTCAGGTATGGCTAAACAGGACTTGCTGATGACAAATCCACGCTGGCTTCTCTTTATTACCTTATTATCTTCTAGATGTTTAAAACCGATTCCTCAGTGGGTCTGAGAACCTTAATCAACTAGTTTTCCAGCTGTAGAAGTTGGTCTCACCAGTCTGAAACTCACTGAATTCTCCTTGTTTGCTTTTTTAAAGATGGGCACTATATTTGTCTTTTTCCAGTCTTCTGGGACCTGTCCTGACCTCTGTGAGTTCTCAGAGATAATAGCCAATGCTCAACATTTATCTTGGTAAAGGTTTTGAATATCTAGGATGAATCTCACCTGGCTCTTCTCATTTGAAAATATCCAGCTTGATTAAGTAATCTCTAATATGCTTTTTATTTACTCTAGGGTGATTATATATACCTTTTTTCATTGCTTGTCATCTGATCATTGACTTTCCATGTGAAAACTGAAGTAGGAAAGGCATTGAATATTTAAGTCTACTTGATATCACTTATGATGTTTCCCTTCCCCATTCAGTAAGGGGCCTACGGTTTCCCTTATCTTACTCTTCATTCTAACATATTTACAGAATACTTGTTGGTTGCATTTTATAGCTCTTGTTAGGCATATCTCAATTCATGCCTTGGCTTTTCTGATTGTCTCCATAGATGACTGTGCTACAGTCTTATACTCCTCCTTAGTTATATAGCCCAGTTTCCACTTTTTGTGAGATTCCTTTTAAAGTTTAAAGTCATTGATAAGTTCAGTTTTTAGCCACACTGGTTTCTTGCTATGTTGCTTATCCTTTCTTAACATCACACTAGCCTCATCTTGTGCCCTGAGGTACAAGTAACTCTCCTTAATGATTTTTCTTAGATTTGCCTCCCATGGGATCCTCCCTACCAATTTCCAGAGTTTCTTAAAGTCTGCTTTTCTGAAACTGTCTTCAGCTGTTGTTTTTCTTTGCTCCTTTCCTTACATTGATCTTGAATATTACCATTTCATGATTACTTGCACCCCAATTGCTG